TTGGTTCTGCTTGTGTCCTGCAGCGCCCTTCAGCAATGCTAATGTACTGTTCCATGGTTCCTGGCTGTCTTTCAGTGTTCACTCAGCATTTGTAAGTCACACCAGGAAAAAAATCTGTGGGGACTGGGCTGTGGGAGATTTATGCTTCTTACTAGTTGGAGTGTATTCTGCCAAGTTTGGGCTTCCATGGCCAAGACCTGCCAGTGGTTACTGTGATTAATAAAGCAAGATGTCTGCAATAAAACACACACCTTTCCATTTTCATGGAGATAAGTGACAAATTTATTTAAAACTATATGCTGGAGGAGCTTGGGGGATGTTCAGCACAGTGTTTATGACTCTTTAGGATTTGCTTCACATTCTTGGGAATTTAGAAGGTCTAGGTACATACATGTTTTTCATTAATCTCGGGTTGTTTTCTCCACAGTATTATCAGAAATCTGTGATTACAGTTATGTGTTCATTTCTCCTTGTCAGATGCGTCATTTATAGTTGTCTGAAACCATATGCCTTTAAAAAGCGTATCTGTAGGGTTGTAATAGATGGCTTAAAACAGTTATTCCCCAAACCGGTTAGTCATTTCTCATCACCTAGGGGGAACCTGAGGCAGGATAGAAGACACGGGAAATCGGGAAATCGTGGGGACAGAGGGAGAGAAGTCCCTCCCCCAGGCATCCAGCTGAGGCCTCTCCCAGTGGAGAAGCAAGAATGTTAGCACAGTGAATGGCTGCTCATGGCCTTGTCCCAACTGTAAACTAGTTTTCTAGGAATCTTACAAAAACCAGAAACCCTTTTTATGGGAAAAAGACATGTACTAAACACCATATTCAACCCAAGCACCTGCCGATTTTACCTTATCAGATTATCATTCTGTCCAAGGCAACTGTAACCACTCCAGAATCTCATTATCAAAGGAGAGAGAAGATGAGAAATGAGAGCCACCAAAAGGGTATAAATGCTTAATGGTAGTACAATTGTGACTGTACTGTAAGGAGCCATACTGACACTTGGGTGTCTGATTTCTCTTGGAGAAGCCCACATCATGTGTTTTTTCTCCAAGCCCCTCTCTTTCTTCCAACACTCATGCTTAAGCTCATAAAATATCTTCACTAACATCTCCAACTACGGGCCAGTGAGATAGCTCAGCAGATAAGGCCACTTGCAATACAAGCCTGGTGACCCCAGTTCAATCCCCAGAATGCGTGTAACAGTAGAAGGAGAGAACCAATTCTCACAAGTTGTTCTTTGGCTTCCACAAATATAATGTAGCTAGCACACACATTACTCCCCCACTAATAATAATAATAATAATAATACCCCATTGTGATAGCTGGAGCTCATTGGAATCTGTTTCCTCTATTAGAGAAGGTAGTGCAGCTAGACAGGTTCCCTCAACTGTCGAGTCAGCTTGAAGAGCAAATCCCTGGCCTGCAGGCTCACTTGGAGCTTTGGGGAACAGTTTTCATGATGCAGCTTTGTATTAGGGAAGGCTGCTCTCTCTGCTGCCATGGCCAGGAGTCTGTTTCACTGCAAACAGGAGAGCTGGCCATACCGTGGTTGCTGCCTGTTCCTCAGCACCCGCCTGTTGCTTGTCGCCCAGGCTCTAAAGCCTGCTGCGTCCACCTAGGCCAGATTAATATGACCACACGTTTCCAGAAGAGCCGTGTGACTGCCACTGCGTTATCCTCATTCCTCATTTTCTTTCCGTGTATAGTGAGAGTGCATCCATTTAGTGACTGCTGAGTTTAATGCAGAAACTGAACAGACTCTGAGAGCTGAGGAAAGTGGTGGACACAGCTTAGTGTTTGACCTTGAACATGGAGGAGGTTATGCTAGAAGCAGTGTGGAGCCCTCCAGCACTTGGCTTCTAGGGCCTTGAGAGCATAGGCTGGGATCTCACTTCTACAGTTGCAGCTGTATGCGTTTCTATGGAGAGTAGTAAGCCAAAATTGTATCGTGTTTTGTTTAGAATGCTTGCAGCTGAAAGTTACTGTTCCCAGGAAATATGCCTTTCCAAGCCAGAATTTATCTGGTATCTCTACTGGAAATTTCACTATGTAAGACTCAAACTAACCATGAATTTTAGCTCAGACTGCTTCCAGAAATTGTTCAGAAATAGTTTAGATATTAAAAACTGTAACTGTTAATGATTCCAAAAATTTTTCCATGACCAGAATTTCTTTTTTCTTTCTAATAAGGCAAGATGATATTTGCCAACTACCAATAAGGGAACTGAGTGGGCAGAGAGATTGCAAAAGCATTCATTTTCTTAAACCATTTCCAGGAGAGGCGCCATTAACTCCTAAAGTCATTAGGACTAATGTCGGGTTAAAACAGGCACATACAGCCAGTACTGAAACTGCTCTGGTGGTGGCCCAGTCTGTGTTGTCACATCTTGAGGACACACAAGCAGTGGTTTCTTTTCATTCATCAAAGTGGACAGCACTGTTGATGTTTGGCCCGTGGCTCTACACTTCCTTCAGGTTGGGCCCACATCTGCCCCTTACTGCTCCGTGTGGGTGGGTCCAGCGGCAGACTCCAAGCAATGTCAGTGGTACAAGGGGACAGGTGGATAGATGTATCAATCAGTTCTGAAGACTGACACAGGAACTGTCATCCCAGCCCACATTTTAGTAACCAGGGCAAGCCATATGTTCCAGTCCAAAAACCCAGGCAAGGGAGAAACAGAAACCCCCAACTTGGTGTTTCCATTTAGGATCTTCCAACACTCAGATGTGGAATGGTACTCACACAACCACTCTGTTTCCCACTGTTCGATGTTTGATGTTGCATTTGTTATAAGGTAGACTTTGTGCTCAGATTCTGAGCGTATTTAATGCAGGCTGGGATAAGCTCTGCTGTTGCAGTTAGGTTTAATAGGTGCCTTTTTTAAACTGGGGGTGGGTTCGTTGAACAGCCCCCCCCCCATGGTGAGCATGGTGAGCAGAAAGCATCTGTGCAGTCTGCTTTTGGTGGATGGACCTGCAGAGCTCCTTAGCAGAGAGCACACACGCAGGACGGAAGGACAGAGAACAGTTGGATTTTTTTATCTCTAACTCATTTGTGAGAAATTCTTTGATATGCCAAAAGCCTATTTTCTTCCTGTTTATAACTAAAACCTTATGATTAGGCCCACTCATTCTTTCCATGCAAAGTGCTGCCTAGTGTTTGTTATGGATCTATGCAAATGAAGTAAATTCCCTGCCTGTGATGTTAACAGGTCAGCATGAGAGCACTCAATAAGATTGCCCCTTAGGACCCCAGATTATGTAAGAACTGTGAAATTTTCAGTATTATCATAGTTTTTAAGTTATTAAAAGGCAATTAATATCTTGCTGCAAACACAAAAGAAACTAGTCTGTGTATATACTTGCTATTAATCAGTTTAAAATTAATTTATGGGGGCTGGAGGTAGAATGCAACAGTGTTGCTAAAATTTTCTTGCTTTATTGTAAGGGAAAGCAGTCTGTTCATGAGAGGAATAAAGATTTGGAATCACTTGACAGTTACAGTTTTTAGTATCTAAACCATTTCCTCACATGTGTGAAGGTAGGACTCAGACTCCAATACCAAAGAAGTTTCTGTCAAATGAGTTCTCTGAGATTTAGGATTAATCACAAAACACAAGTGAACAATTTGGTATTTCCTGATTAAAGTAGAACTCAGAATAGTTTTTCAGGTAAACATGACTAATGAGATTATGGGCCGAGATACCCAGCTTACTATTGCTAGTATCCTCTACTGCCTGCGTGTGGAATGGAAGCTTGGGATTTGATCGTAATGAATGAAGGGGCTTGTTTTCATGGTGTCTCAGATGTAGTGTATGCTGATGCATGGAGCAGAAAGAATGGGGAAAACTTCATGTAATACAGCAGTGACCAATGGTGCACTCTCTCTTTTGGAAGCCACCCAATCCAATGTCACATCTATAATGCAAAGCTGTGGTACACAAATAGCAATTTGTAGCAGACTAGGATAAAATGTTTCAAAATTATAAGGGGCTGGAAATATGTTCCTTTCCCTTTAACAGAAGTTTTGTTGTTGTTGTTGTTGTTTTATCATAGCTGATAGTGGTCCAAGTGCTTCCCGTGTTCCCATCATTTCTTTAACCCCCAGTGACCTGCTGAGACACAAGTTCCTGCTTTACTTGTTTACAGAGAAGGAAACAAATAGAAAGGGTTCACATGTTTTAGATTTTCCAGGATTCTGTATATTGTTTTTAAAAGCAAATAAATCTGGGCCGAAGAGATGATTCACTGGGTAAAGTGGTTCCCACACAGTCATGAGGATCTGAGTTCAAACCCCAAAACCCACATAAAGTACATGGCTGTAAATCCAGCAACTGATAGGATAATGTGGCAAGTGGAGACAGGAGATATCCTGGGAACTTGCAGCTCAGTTAATGGGGTACACAATGATGAAGAAGGACTCTGTCTCCAACAAGATAGAAGGTGAAGACCAGCAGCCAAGATTGTATCTGACCTCCCCATGTGCTCTGTGCCTGAACTCATACACATGACCTGGTGTGCACGCGTGTGCGCACACACACTTTAAAGCAAGGAGATTGGACCAACTTCAGGCCTGACCATTAGCATTCAGTCTGGCATCCAGCATTTGGAGAGCTATCCAGGGCAGTTCTGTGCTGTAGTGCAAAGGCAGTCCCAGTTACAAATGCCTGTTGTAAGTTGTAGTCACTTACAATCTCTGAACCTGTGTCCTCGTGTGTAAAATAACAGTGACTATACTTGGCCTGTGTCTCAAAGCTCTTCTTTGATTTGTTTTGCTCACTACTGTGTCACCATTGTCTGGAACACTGTCTGCCATGGAAATATTTGTCGATGGGACAAGTGAAGTACTAGAGTGACCTATAGAGAGCCTCAAGAGTAGATGCCATGGGTAGGACACCAGATGCTAAGCAGGAGTGCTAGCAGTGTGGAATATTTGATGTGCCTCTGACCCAAGCACTTGCAATACTTTTACTTCTCATTTGCATTACTTAGGGACGTGCTTCTCTCACAGAAGAGAAAGAGGTATTTGCCCATGAACATGAAGAAATGAAGAACCTAGAAGCCATTGTTCAAAAGATAAAACCAACTGCCCTAATAGGTAAATTTTTTTTCTTCCTTTTCCTTTAATTTGGCCTGTTTAGCACTATTTTGCTTTTTAAAAATTCTAACCTTTGGAATCCAGAAAGAAAATGGACTCACTCAGGTAGCGGGGTCTTCACAGGTACTGAGATGTAATTCAGTTCTGCTTTTCTAGTATTCCTGATTTGAACTGAAGTGTGGCCTTTGTGCAGTCAGCCCTTTTCCAGGCTTCACTACTCCAGGTAGACAGTCCTTCTTGAACGTGCTGGAAACCCACCCCCAGAGCACTAGTCTGTGCCTAGAGATGGATTTCAGTTGTCATCAATGTGAAGGGAATGTGGAGGGAGAAAGGAAAGGAAAGGCCACCTGACATCCAGTGGGTAGAGGTCAGTAGTGTTGGCAAAATGTCCTGTGGTGCACAGGGCAGCCTTGCATGAGGAACCATGCCCGCAATATAATAGTTATGCCGAGAGGAACCATGCCCACAATAGTCAGTCAGTCACGCTGAGATCGGGAGCTCTGAATGAGATCCCTAGAAGGCAGCTTGCACCCCACCTATCATTACAATCTTCCTCAGGTACTCCAACACTGTGTGTGCACAGTGCAGTGTGGCGTGTGCAGCTGGGCATGCTGTGTATCCCTACCATCCCATCCCAGCTTTGGGAAGTGGACACAGGAAGACAGGACAGGAGCTCAGCCTGAGCTCTATGAGACCTGCTTTGAAATCCATAGACAAAGTGCTTAGTATGTTCAAATTCTGTGCTTAAAATCTCCAAAGAAGTTGTAATAGTTTGTTCCTAGTCCCATGTCTGTCTGTCTACTTTCAACCATAGTCTGTTCTTAGAAGTGCGTTTGCAGTAGTTGATAATACTGCGGGTGATGATCGGGAATCAAAGAACTTTATCAAGCTTTCAGTGTGTCTTACACAGTGCATTCTTCAGCTTACTCCTTTTCACCTTCATTAGCTGCTTTATTCTGCCTTCAGCAAGTGGTTATTTCAGTTTCACAATAGAATGAGATGATTATTACCGTTGCCTATAAAGACACAATTACCACAGTCTACTCAAAATTGCTTAAAGAGAATGTATTAGATTAATACATTCATGGTTTAATTTCCTGATACAAATGCTTGGAACCAGAGTTCCTAATGATGGACTAGGAACTCTGTATTGTGAGTCTGTTGTCATACCTGTGACTTATAAAGGCACTTGTTGGTTTAACCCTGAAGACGATTGGCCTTGAGCAACACTGTTTCATCTCTAGACTTCAGTGTGAACATTCTGTACTTTGTTGCTGCCCTATCTCATTGTCTGGGGGCCTGCGCCTCTTGGATGAACTAACCAAGGACAGTCCTACTCCCCCATTTCTTTTCCTTTTTAGGAGTCGCTGCAATTGGTGGTGCTTTCACAGAACAAATTCTCAAAGATATGGCTGCCTTCAACGAACGGCCCATCATTTTTGCTTTGAGTAACCCAACCAGCAAAGCAGAGTGCTCTGCGGAGCAGTGCTACAGAATGACCAAGGTGAGCAGTCGGGTGGTGGGCAGTTCCAGGAAGCCTAGGATGCCCGAGGGGCTGATCACACCTCCTGGACGTCACACTTACTCCATCCGAACCGGAAGATGCATGGACACACCCAAGGTGTGACTGCCTCCTCTCCCTCAGTGTGAATCACTCTTCTCAGCGTCAGTAAATAAATCAACTGTGTATGTGTGTGTGATAACTTTCCTTGAGTGATTTGCAAAGTAAGACTTAACTATAAAAAGGAAAGGGAAAGGACTTAGCTTGGATGGCCTGAAGCTCTCTTTAACTAGCTGTTTCTGAGCATCGAAGCATACAAGATGAAACCACAGTTTAGTTTTTGCTTAGCTAAATTTTGGGTTTGGATTTTGATGCCATGGGTGGAGGATCTGGGCAGCTATGCTGATACCCAGCCAGGCTGGCATGGAATCCTCAGGGCTCAATACTTCACTGTTTTAAAAATAAAAAGTTAATTTTATATTGTGTTTGTACTACCATATATTTGACTGATAGGTTGGCCACATGCCTTTTACTCTCTTCAAAGACCTGAGACTATCATTATAACAAAAATGAAGTTAGTTTTATGCATCTGAATCCTTTATTTACGTATAATAGAGAAGGTAAACACAACACAAAGGGCTGGTAGTGTACAAGCCAGAGCTTGCCGGCTCGACTTTGTGAGCACTGTGTCGAGAGCTCATCACTGCAGCGAACATGTTTTTAACAAGGAGCCACTCCGCTTTCTCTCTCTTATCGGGATGGCATCAGTATCCTGAGTAATCTGAATCTTCATTTCATGGACAGATCGAGTTTTCTTTGCATTCTTCAGTAGCTTTGAATCCTCAAGGGAAGAAAAGAACCTTTTGCACAGAATTGTAGTGTAGTGCCTTGCACATAGGAGGCCCCTCATAAGTAGGTGTGTAATGAATTATTTTGTCTTTGTGTGTCACACCAGTCCTTGTTAGTGTAGAGGCTCCTGCCATACACATGCATGTTAGTTCAGTCTTATAGTTCTGTTTGAAACTCTCAGTGTGTCAGAGCTAGATGAGCTCAGCGCTTTCTTAAGATCTTGCCTAATGCTCTGTATTGTAAAACATTGACAGTTACCTTGAGGCTGCACATTAAGTTCTAACCTCACATACCATTTCCAGTGCTCTAGAGACCGGTTGATTTTATCTTCAGAAGTCTAGTTAGAAGCCTCTGTAATGTGGTTGTTGGGCCTGTGGTTGGACAGGCCCACACTGCAGAGAACAGAGTGGTAGCCTTAGGGAATGGTGTGCTTTGCCCACTCAGGACAGATTACTACAGAGGACAGTGACAAGCACCCCCTCCTGACCCATCGGCAGCACCGGGGCCCACCAGGAGTTAAGCGCCAACCACCCTTAGACTGCCGCCTGCGGACGGCTCTGTCACGGCACCGCGGTTCTCAGGTGCTCAGCTCGCTCGTCCTCAGGACCGTGTGTCTGTCTGTCTGTGTTGCAGGGTCGCGCCATCTTCGCCAGCGGCAGTCCTTTTGATCCAGTCACGCTTCCAGAGGGACGGACTCTCTTTCCTGGCCAAGGCAACAACTCCTACGTGTTCCCTGGAGTCGCTCTTGGGGTGGTGGCCTGTGGGCTGAGACACATCACTGACAAGGTCTTCCTCACCACTGCCGAGGTACGGTGAAGCTGGTGGGTGCTGAGGCAGCATTTGCTCCGCTCAATGTTCTATGTACGTATCGTCACAGCTGTCTACAAGGGTGAAGAACTCTTAGTAGAGAATTTGGAGTTGGGGAGCAGGTTCATGTGAGTCGCTAGTGAGATTTCTCTCAGTAGTTGTTAGGTTTTGTTCATAGAAAGGGCCTTTTATTGCCCATAGATACTGATGGACTCTAGGACGTCAGTGAAACAAGCGTCTTTCCCAAATGGTGACAAGTACCATTTCTCCACAGTGAGCCTTCCTGAGGACTGGCATTTTAAAGTCCACATAGTGTAGTGGAAGTGGCTGTCATCAATGTTCCAGGACAGGAAATAGAAGCCACACTAGTGTTTAAGCAGAAATGAAATTACAACAGGGCATTATGTGTTCATATGATCAGGAAAAGGGCTGCTGAGATGGTTCCATGGGTACAGATGCTTGCTGCCAATGCTGAGAGCCTGAATTCAGTGTTCAGGACTTACATGGTAAGAAGAACCAGCTCTTGCAGCTTGGATTCACTTCCACATGTGTGTTGTGGCATGCACTGCCTCCCCCCCCCCCTAATGAGGATATTTTTAGGAAACTACTGACAGGAGATGTTGGTTCTCTCCTGGGATTTCAGGAAAGACCCCAGGCTGTCACAGAGCCCAGGGAATCGAGTACAGTTGAGAACTGACTTTATCCAACTGCAGGCTGACGAGGTAGCCATAGTTTCACAGACACTGGCAGAGAACACGGAGCCCCAGCTCAGAGACAGAGAGCTTTATCATCCGGGTGAGAAGATCCTGTGAGTCTTGTGCTGCCGTCAGCTTCCTCAGCATCCCAGCCTCAGCGGGATGGTGACAGTGGGTGGCCGTATATGTGTAAGCCATGAAGGGCTTATCCTGCTGTAACTGGGTTTCGGATTTGGTCAGAATACAACTCATGAGTGAGAAACTTGTCGATTTCTCTCAAATTAAACATTGTATAACACGATAGCTGAGCTGAACCACATGAAACCTGACTGGTTTAAAGCACGTACCCAGCAAGCATGCTGCTCTCTGCACTGTGAAGGAACCCCAAGGACGGGGGGGGGGAGGGGGGCGGGGAAAGGGGGGGATCCAGAGTCACCGTGTGATCAAAGAGCACATCTACCTCCCTCCAGGACAGATGCCTAGCAGCTGGAGCATTTCTTCTTCAGGCTTTCTGCAGCGTTAAAAGTATGACAGCTGATGTGTCTGGATGGTTTCTTTTTAATTCAAAAGTATTGTTAAATTCAAATAGATGTCTAATTGCTAAGAGCATTTTAAGGTTTTACATAAAGAAAAATAATCACCCTTTCTTTTAGGACAAAACAAGTGTGAGCTCGAGTCGCCTTAGCTGTTTCCTTCCTTTAGCTCTAGCACCCTCTAGTGGCAATGTCAAGTAAATCCTTTTTATTTCTCATTCACTAATAATGATCACTGCTAAAGGCTCATGCTTTAATCCCAAGTGGATCTCTGTGAGTTCAACAAGAGTCGGGTCTGCATAGCAAGTTTCAGGCCAGCCAGAGTTACGTGGTGACACCCTGAGCCCTGCATTCCAAATTTTTTTTCGGGGGGGGGGGGGAGAGAAAAAAAGTTAATTGGGTGTGGTGGCTCACTTGGGAGGCCTAGGTGTAAGATTTCGAGCTTCAGGTCAGACTTGGCTACACAGAGAGCTCCATGTCAGCCTGCACTATATATGAAACACCAAACCCAAACAGAGGAAGAGAACACAGGGCTGTGCACAGCTGAGCTCTCCTCACTGCAAGGTTTCTCTCAGCTGCATCGTGGGCCTCCGGAATTCACACTTCACACGACACTCCCCTGCTTGTTTTCCTTGTCTCTTCATCTCTCTTTTAATTAAGACTCTGTGTGTGTGCGTGTGTGCACATGCACTCACCCACACGTGCTCACACATGCCCACACCCATACGATTTAGGGTGTTTTCTACCTAGTTGTGTAAGACAGGTCTCTCACTGAACCTGGGGCTTGTGATTTGGGTGGGCTGGCTGACCAGCATGTCTCCCCGTCTCTCCCTCCTGAGCACTGGGGGGATCCTAAGTGTATGCTGCAGAGCCTTGCCCTCCATCCTGCAGGTGCTGAGATCTACCTCAGGTCCTCCGCGTATGAGCGTCTGCACACTGGGCCATCTCCCAGCCCCAAGGCAATCCTTATTTAAACACGCTGACACTGTTCTCCTCCTGCTTGGTGTTTGCTCTTGAGAATTTTGGATTTTAAAACATCATGTGACCTCTGAGACTAAAGAGGTCACTCCCCTTCAGCTGTTCTTCAGAATGCCAGTAACAGCGAGCGCAGTGCTGGCACGGAGCAGAAGCATCACATGCACACTGTTGAGTGCAGCAGCACCAGCCACAGCGTGGCGGCGGGAAGAACAGATGTGGTGCTGTGGATGCTCACCGCCAGAGGGCCTAGAAGGCTGTCTGGATTGTCTGGTTCAGCTAGCCAGCTAACTGAAGTAACAGCTGGACTTGCTTTATTTGACAAGCCCAGGTCGAATCACCTTTAGTATTATAGCAAAACCAAAAATAAAACCAAAAACCAAAACCAAACCAAAAAACAACTGGTTTGAGGGTTTTGGAGAGATGGCTTGGTGGTTGAGAGCACTGGCCGCTCTTGCAGAGGGCCTGGGTTCAATTTCCAGCCCACGTGGTACCTCACAACCATCTGTAACTCCAGTTCTGACATCTTCTGTCTTCTAAGGACACCAGGCATGGACACATGTGGTGCATAGACATGCATGTGGGTAAAACACCCATATATAAAATATAAAATAATAACAATTTAAATACTAGTTTGGTCACATATGAAGCCAGAAATCTCATGGATTGGACTAAATATGAAAGATTATTTCTGGACACGTAAAAAAATTGTTTTATGTGTGAGTAGTGTATGTATATGTACTTACGCAGGTGTGAGTACATGTGTGAGCTGTGCTCCGACTCTCAGGATTGGGCAAGCAACATTTTACTAACTAAGTCATCTCTCCAGTCTCTGTTCCTGATCTTCTTTTTGAGTATAAAGAGATTTTTAACTCTTGTAGTGCTGGTAACCAACAGTGTGGCTCAATTCGGCATCTGCAGCTTGTATAGTATGCAGCAATACGTCAGTAGTGTTTGTAATGACATGTATTTGACTTGGGTGGGCAGGAGCCTCTTGCTCGCTTCAAATATTTGAAAATTCCACTGTAACATATGGTGATATTTTATTTGTACTGAAATGTGATTTTATTTATATGTTAATAAATAAAGTTGCCTGGGGGTCAGGCTAATAGCAAGCCGTAGCAGAAGCCGGGCGGTGGTTGCGCACACCTTTAATCCCAGCACTTGGTAGGCAGAGCTAGGCAGATCTCTGTGTGTTCAAGGATACATCCAGCATTGGAGACACATGCCTTTAATCTCAATACCAACCATAGAAGACCTGGAGGTCTGTACAGACAGGCAGTGTCGAGGCAGTCATGTGGTTGGGTTTACAACCAATGAGAAGGCAGAACAGAAAGTCTATATAAAGACAGACACATAGGAAGTAGCGTACTTTCTGAGGACAGCAGCGGCAGTGAAGGGTAAGGTTTTTAGCTCCTAGCTATCGCTCTGGCCTCTTGGCTTTCATCTCTGCATTGGTTCTGTGTTTCTTATTTAACAAGACGGTTACATCTACAGTAACATAACAGAGCTAAGTTCTATCCAAGACTTTCATCTTGGAAATGAATGTAGAGTTAACATAACACAGAGTTGTATCACTGTGCACAACACAGGGCCCGGCAGTTGTACTTTTCACATGGTGTGTCAAGTGTTGTCACTAGTGTGGGTGAGCCACACCTCACCTCTGCTTCTGTCTCCTGTGTAGGATAGCACCTATGTCCGTAGTAATTTAGATTATTTTTTTTAAAGATTTTTTTTTTCATTTTCTGTGTTTGAGTGTTTTCCTTGCATGTATGTAAGTATGCTGTGTATGTGCTGTGTGCTCATGAACCAGAAGAGGGTGTCAGATCCCCTGAACTGGAATCACAGACTGTTGTGAGCTTCCATGTGGGTGTTAGGGATCGAACCCGGCCCTCTAAAAGAGCAGCCAGAGCGTTTCATCACTGAGCCATCTCTGTAGTCTGAAGCAGGTTTTCTGCTTCTTTGCTGTTCGTTTGTTTGGTTTCTTGTTGTTTCTGAGGCAGGGCTACTGGCTGGCCCGTAACTCACTATGCAGACCAGGCTGGCTTCAAACCCACAGATTGCCTGCCTCTGACTCCTGAGTGCTGGGTAAAGGTGTGTGCCAGCACACCCAGCTTGATTCTTATTTCGTCTGTAGATTGGGAGTTACCTTACTTTCCTCACTAGTCCTTAAATCCGTAAACGAGGAAAACTACACATCCCTTGAGCTGTCCCTCAAGTGGGAGTGGCTGGTTCTTCCCCCTGCTCTGTTTGTGGGAAATGGTGCACCCACTTGGGTGGTAGGACATTTACTGCCTCTGTGTTTAAAGTTTGGGACCCTGGTCACCATCTCTGGGGTGAGGGGAAACTTGGGTTTACTACTATGTAACAAAAGCAAGAAATTAATTAGTTAAATGAGTTTATTATATAATCAGAGTTAATATTCTCTAAGTCTAGGTGTTTTAGACACTATGACCGTGACCAAGGCAAAAAAAAAAAAAAAACAACATTCAATTGGGAGCTTGCTTACAGTTTCAGAGGGCTAGTCTATTTATCTTCATGGTGGGGAGCATGGAGGTACTCAGGTAGGCATGTGCTGGAAACATAGCTGAGAGCTACTTCCTGATCTGCGGGCAGGCAGGCGGGCAGGCGGGCAGGCGGGCAGGCGGGCAGGCGGGCAGGCGGTGGTGGTGGTGTGGAACTGGGCCTGGTGGCATGGGCTTTTGAAATCTCAAAGCCCATTTCCAGTGACATACCTCCTCCCACTCCTCCAATAGGTCCACTTCCTAATCTCCAGACAATTCTTTAGCTGGGGACCAAATGTGGAACTATTTGAGCCTATGGGGGTCATCCTTACTCAGACCATCACACTAGCTTATTATTTTTTTATATGACAATGTTGCACTAATCCAATAGTAGCTGTGCTGTTGATTACTGCTTCTCCCCATCCTGGCTCTGTCTAGTTGTTGGTGGTCACAAGTTCTTAGCCACCCACAGTGCCAGTGTATTCCATTCCTCTTTTCTCTGCAGAGGCTCTCCACCCCCCAAGTTCGGGGAGGGTTGTCTCAGCATCCACTTCACATGTGTGTGTGTGTGGGGGGGTCTCCATGCTATCTGCAGCACCTGCCCTGTGCATATGACTCCTCATTTCTTCTCAGTCCCTCAGTCAAGTCCGCCTCACTGGCCTCACCTTGAGCCTATCACTGTGGCTTGATTAGCTCGTATTTCTCCTGCAGCCAGGCTGTGACCTCTCGTATCTCCTTTGGTTCTGTGAGTTACCTCCCTGCCCTAGAGACTTCTGTAGGTGGACCCACGCCTGTGCGCAGTCTATTGGCGTGCTGATGGAACCCAAACATATCTTTGAAATAACTGCATCAAGCAGAGACAGGTGGATCTCCATGAGTTCAAGATCAGCCTGGTCTACCTCTCTAGTTGCAGACCAGCCAGAGCCACACAGTGAGGCCCCCATCTCAAAGAGAGTGTCTGCTCAGTCACTGGGATTATAGGATGAAGGTTTCCCAATCCCAGAGTCAGAAGCATAGGGGTTAAGACACATCCAGATTTGTCGCTGATTCCTGTTTTTCCCAAGTTTATAATAGTAATCTGGATAAGTAATGAAAAGTATGTGAAAATAAAGAATAGGTAAGATCCTGACAAAGCTGGGCATGTAGCTCAGTGGTAGAGTATTTGCCTAGTATGCACAAAGCCCTGGGTTTGACCCAGAGAGACAGAGACTGACTGACTGACTCTGACTGACTATTGATTGCTCAAAATGTTGCCAGTGAAGGTTTTCTGTGTCAGCTCTGCCCCAGCGTTTCTGTTGAAGGCCCAGCTATGAGCTGACCTAGACCCGCCTTGTGCAGTGACTTAACTGTCTGGAGCTAGGGGGGGCTTAGGGGGAGAAACGGGGTGGTTGGTCAGGTGAGCTGACAACCAAGGGTCTGGGTAAACTCGAGTCCTTTCTTAGCTCACTGCTGTCCTCCCTCATGAGTTTGGAGTGAGGAGTAAGAGCAGGTCTGCCTTGGCTGGCTGCCCTCCCTGTTTTCAGGGTCCCTTCCATGACTTCTTCATCCCCCTTTTCTTTGCCCCTCTTCCATTGGTTTATGGTTTAGTGTGAAGGAACTGAACCAAAAGGGCACCTGGGTTCTGTCCTCTCACTCCTGGTGTGATCTCAGCAGTTGCCCTGGCTTAGCTTTTCTGTTGATGAAGGGGCATTAGTCCGTCATTGTCATGTGGGAGTTTCCATAGGCGGCCATTCCCTTAGTTGTCTCCTTATTTCCCACACCGAATCACGCATGTGCTGTATAAACATTTCTGTCCCTTTCTCGTTTAAAGGTCATATCTCAGCAGGTGTCTGATAAACACCTAGAAGAGGGCCGGCTCTATCCTCCTTTGAATACAATTCGAGATGTTTCCTTGAAAATCGCAGTGAAGGTAAAAACCATGTAGCCTCATTATTTTTTCCATCCTTCCCTCGCTAAATATGTATTGTTACCATTTTCCATGCTTGCTTGGCGTGTATGTTCATTTTCTAGGACTTGAGGAACTGAGACTTGGTGACGGAGCACTGAGGGAGCTAGCTGCGTTTTATCCTCAGAGATTGGGGGAAACATGGAGGCTGCTTGTAGATTTCTCCATCCGTTTAGTCGGGCTTCTCCCAATTCACCTTATTGCAGTTGTTCTATAGAGCTGTTTATATAGTTCCCCCAGACTGACTAGAGTGACGTTTACACCGGGAACCTCCTGCTACATTCCTGTCTGTGATTAGTAGGTCTCCACTTTACTAATGCTGCGACCCTTTAATACAGTTCCTCATGATGTCGTGACCCCAACCATAAAATGATTTTTGTTGCTACGTCATAACTGTAATTTTGCTACTGTTATGAATTGTAATATAAATATCAGAGTTTTCTGATGGTATCCCTTCAAACCTCAAAGGGGTCGCAACCCACATGTTGAGAACCACTGGCTTAGAACATCTTGAAAGACTGAAGACCCAGGTGATAGTGTCAGAGGCAAGTTATTAGTCCTGTAGATAAAAGAATTCAAACTCTGAATTAAAAGGGAACTTAAGGGCAGCTTCATTGGGGTTTGAGGAAAAGACAACTGGACCAAGCTGGGGGTCCCAGTGGCTGCTGGGAGGCGGGGGCAGGATGAGAGAGCAGAGTATGTCTTCTAAGGGAGGGTCAAGAAAGCAGGCAAGCTCAGCAATGGGCGCTGGTGAACAATTACATGGTATGTGTGTGTACTGGAGGTGTACTCAGAGAGGAGGGAGAAAGAGAGGCGGAGAGAGAGAGAGAGGGAGGGAGGGAGAGAGAGAGAGAGAGAGAGAGAGAGAGAGAGAGAGAAGAGTGGGGGCGAGCCCAGAGTGTCAGGCCAAAGGAAAAGGTTCCACTTCCCAGTCAGATCTCAGCGTAGGCAGCCTGGCAGGGGATCCGTAAGCAGCTGCAGTGGGGGAGGGGCTCCTGGGGTAAGTCCTGATTCCTTGCCTCACTAAGGGATCATTAGCCTCACGTCTAACAGGTCTTCACTCAGGTGTGTTGTGTTTCTTTTCACCTTCTGGCTTCATGATGTTCTTTGTTCTTTCAGATTTAGTGTTTTGGGGTTCAGGAATGAATCAAGTCTTGAAAACTCAAAGCCTGCTTAATGACACATCTCCTCTAACAATGCCATTCTTCTTAATCCTTCCCAAACAGTTCTGTAGATGAATTGCTAAGTGGTCTTATTAAATAAAAAAACCCGGAGCCAGATATTGGGGTTAAAACCTGAGAGATCAGAGGAATAGGAACAGCCACAAACCAACCTCACCTTACCGATCCTCAGCTTCCAAAAGAGACCTACTTTCTGTATACCCACACCTATATGCCTTTCTGTTCTGCTATATCATTTGCTCTCTCCATCCAGCTACATCACTTCCTCTTCCTGTGCAGCTCTGTCACTTCCTGTCTGTCTGTACAGACCTCCATACCTCCATGGTTAACTAGTGTTGGAGTTTAAGGCATGTGCCACCATGCCTGGCTCTGTTCCCAGTGTGGCCTTGAACTCACAGAGATCCAGACAGATCCCTGCCCCAAGTGACAGGAACCTTTGGGGACCACTCTCCTTCACACCACCACACATGGTTTTTCACCTAAGGAGGGTGATTCTGGTATTTTTCCTCTTCCTTACCAGGGCAGTAGGAGGTGGGGCTTAAAGCTGGTCATGAAGGTAGTGTCCATCTCCAATAACCTCCAAGCTGCTAATGTCTTATTAGCTACCTAACAGGAAAAACAGTGAGGACAAAGAACTCAAGAGCAGCTATGGGGATGATGAGCAACAGGAGGACTTGGCCAAGAGCGAGCGAGCGAGCGAGCTATCTATCTGTCTGTCTGTCTATCTATCTATCTATCTATCTATCATCTATCCATCCATCATCCATCCATCCATCCATCCATCCATCCATCCATCCATCCATCCATCTATCTTGTGTGGAGGCTGCACACCCAAGGTCAAGATGTCAGGAAGTTTGGCTTCTTCTCAGGTCTGTGTCTCTGACTTGGTGGCCGCCTTCTTGCTGTGTTTTCTCTGTATATGCTCATCTTTGGTGTTTTTGCTGTCCAGTTTTCTTTCTTTTAAGAACAGAAGTGAAGTGGACTAGGGACATCCCGAAAGCCACATTTTAGCTTCTGAAGTACTGCTGGTGAGGACACCAGCATGTAAGCTTATATGTGGGGGACACAAACTTGTCCCCTAGCCGTTTTCTTGAAACTGGGGTTAGTTGGCATTTTTAGCCTCTGGCCACTAGGGGTCGGTAGCAACTGCACAGTTTCAACAGTCAAAAGGTAGCCAGACATTAAGTCTTATGTATACCAAACATCAGTGGTTTACACTATTCCAAATTTATATAAATAGCACTGTTTAAGATTCACATGTTGTTATTTATCTTATTGATTGAAGGTATATTCTACAAAATCAGTACTTCAAAAAACTTCAACTAATAGTGTGTGAGTGTCTGTCTTTCAGGGAAAAACAGCCTCATATTTTGTTCTGGTCGGTATCAGTTTTTAGTTTCCATTATTTATGTACTGTACAGCATGTTATCATTTTAGGTTTATTTTGATAATTTAAATGAAGAGAAAGTGAGAAAGCCGGGGCAGGAGAGGGAATAAAGAGGCCTTGGATCCCGAATCTGTACTTAGAACACGGTGCAGTCTTCTACACAGAAACTGAGAACTCGGGGTGAAGAGCCGCTTTCAGGAAGGAAGCTGCCATACGGGGATGCAGGTTTGAGGTCCCCCGTGTATCCAGAGGTCTACTTCTGTCGTGGAGATGGAGAAGACAGAAACATAGAGTGACTAGACAGAAAGATCTAGTTGTCATCTATGTGTGGGGAGTGGAGCAGTTGGTGTGGTTGCACTTGCTGAGAGAGTAGTGTGCAGAGGGAAGGGAGGCAGAAGATCTTTCTTACTGCGACCAGACGACGGAAGCGAGCTCCCCAGAGACGCGGGCGTTCAGTCCAAGTTAACCAGCAGCAAGGCCCGTCAAGACTGCCTGAGAAAAATGACTCTGGCCACACTTTAGTCTCTACTACTGAGACTCTCCCTGGATGCCAGCGTCGTCCCCCCCTGCTATATCTGATTTATAGTTGCATTTTCATTTTTCATCTGCTGTGTTTTGTATGTGGCTTTTACTCTAGTACAAACTATACATTAATTTTTAAAATGGATAAAAACTTGATTTGTGTTTTATATCGCCTTCTCATTATTAAAATAATGACTTGCCTCCCTTGTTTCTAGATTGTGACAGATGCGTACAGAGAAAGGACGGCCACTGTTTATCCTGAACCCCAAAACAAAGAAGAATTTGTCTGCTCCCAGATGTACAGCACTAATTATGACCAGATCCTACCTGATTGCTATTCTTGGCCTGAAGAAGTCCAGAAAGTCCAGACCAAAGTTAGTCAGTAAACACAACAGCTAGACTTTTTAACCTTACCAGTAAGATCTCGAAGTTCTCATGATTTCTAAGGGATGGAATCTTTTATGATGATTCATAGTGTGCTTAGAATAAGGTGATTTTAGTTTAACAATCAAACCCATGGAAGTATATTAATATAAATTAGGATAAACTTCACACTGGACAGGTTTGTTTCACTTACTCTGGTTATTTATGTTTTCTGTTTTAATTATTCTCTTTATAAATTCTGTTTAAAAACTGTTGTACCTGCTGCTGAGAAACTCATCACTGATAATGTAGGAAGCTAAAGGAAGACCCAAACTAGTAATAAATTAATATAGTGTAACTTGATCACGTTAATGCCTACAGTTCTTTCTTGATCATTTTGTTAAAATCTTTAAAAAGTGAAGATAAACACACACTTAGGTATAGCTGAACTTTTACTAAACAGAAGCACTGCTTGGCTGCCTGGAGACAATCCTTCTCAGGCCTTGTGTTCCAGGCCTCGGTTCGCCTTGTTCCTTTTGCACAACTGAACTCTTGAACGCCTCTCCGAAAGCTCACTGCTGTTTACAAAACCTTGTGCAGCCTTAGATCTTAATCCTCCTTTGTCATTGTTCCAGCCCGGAGAGCAGAGCTCTCTTGCTTCGGTTCTGAGTCCCAGACTCTCCACAGAAGCTCTTTTCCTCAGCCCTGACCAAACCTTTTCCCAGCTCCTGGCCCCGCTGAGAGACTGGGAGGTTTGGTTAGCACAGCCGGGCAGTGAGAAGGCTTCGAGGAGAGTCCTTGCGAAGGGACCCCCTGAGGAGCCCACCTCCACCACAAGGGTGTCAGAAGCAAGACCATGGTTCCCAGACAAGCTAGGGGCCCCTGAGAGTCACTTGCCCTAATGTCCCTGTGGTTAGCTCAGGTGACCGACAACTCATAGCGTGAGTGACCACATCTCCCATGCCTAGCTTTCCATCGGATACTAAAATGTATTGATTTCAGAACCATTCTATGGGAAGGAATAACCATTTCCCCAGGCTGTATTAATTTACTGGACAAGTTGGTGATGCAATGGATAGAAACAACTTTAAATTCCTAAGCTTGGGTTCGAAAACATTCTGTATTTCTAGAGACACTTCTGCTTTTGAAGTAATGCTTTAAAGCATGGATGGTGTTTAAGCAGGGCTTCTCTATAAAGTGACCCCCTTGAAGGTGAAGACCACAGATTCTGTCAGGTGTGAGTTAAGAGTGGAGACTTCAAATGGCAACTTTGGTTAAGAGTTTCCTTTGTGTAGTTATTGGGAAAGATTCAGAATTCCTATCTATTTCTTGTCTGTTTCCATGTTGTCAAATAGTTTTAACTGAATGTATTTACCTATGCAAAACATTTATTAAAGCATAGAAAATATGAATAACATTGTAAATAATTGTCATTTTTATTAAGATATTGCTGCCATTTACAATGATAATGCTGGGTTTTAGGAAATAATATGAAAAATTATTAAGATTTTGGTTTGTTTTTTTTTTTTTTTTTTTGAGACAGGATTTTTCTGTGTGTAAACCTGGCTGTCCTGAAACTCACTCTGTAGACCAGGCTGTCCTATCATTCACAGAGATTCATCTTCCTCTGCCTCCCAAGTACTGGGATTAAAGGTGTGTGCCAACACCGCCCGGCTGGCTTATGCATTTTAAAAAGAAGATTTAGTTTTTATTTTATTTGTGTATGTGTGTGTGTGTGTGCGCGCGTGTGTGTGTGTGCATGTGCTTTGGCCCTTGTTTTCTCTGATGTCCACAGAGGCTAGAAGAGGGTATCAGATCCCTTGAAGCTAGAGTTACAGGTGGTTGTGACACCTCCCCCTCCATGTGGGGCCGGGAACTGAACTGGCGTCCTCTGGAAGAGCAGCAAATACTTGTAACCTCTGATCCATGTCTAGAACGCTGAGGTAATACGAAGTTTTAAAATGCTCTAGTAATTGCTTATTCCTGTATGACCTTCATTTACTATGAAGTGAGCACATGAGCTGGGTGCTGTAAGTGACTTCTCCCTGTTCCTAGGGACAATGGTGAAGCAGGTGTTAGTCAGTCACATGTCAAGCATTTCAGTGTCATCTCATCCATGCTACCCTGTGGTTTCCTCATGAGGTTGACAGTTGAAGTCACTTGTCAAGCCCACAGAACTCTAAGCAATGGAGGCGGGGTCTGCTGAGTCCTCGTTTGCCTGTCCTTGTGTTCTCTCTCCTACTCTCTCTCCTAGTCTACTGCAGTCTAGACAGAACTGCCGCAAGTGTATGCCTCAGTTTCCTAGCAGCTTCATAAAGAATGGGAATTCATGTTAACATTATTCTATTAAACCAATACATCTAAACATTAGTTCAAAGTATAATTAATATGAAAATTATTGAGGTCTTTGGTTGGGTTGATACCAGATGTTTCCAAGGCAGTACTTCCCACGTGACCTTGATCAGTCAGTTCCCACAGCCCCAGGCTGACCTTTACTCAGGAACCTCCTTCTGGCTGCGTCAGCCGCCCAGCCTGAGACTAGACTCTTCTTTGGGGTGCCTTAGTTCAGAGTTATCCTGTGTGGGTGAGGCTGTGCTGATTGTAAGGCTCACACTGTAAACGTGGTCTGCTACCTTCCACTTCCTGCTCTCAGGAGAGAGCCATTTCATTTTATAGTGCTGCCGTCTTTATCTTGTGGCTTCCAGAGTCACCGAAAGGACAAGAAAACATGGAGATTAATGCGGGGACTTCTCCTGCATTGTGCTGGCTGGCACTCAGCCGCATGGCTGCAGCATAGAAGCATGCTGTCTCTTTTTTTGGCCCAGGGCTGCAAAAGGAAACAGATAAGATGGACATGTAGCCTTGACTTTGCCACAAACCCAGTTTTTGTTTGTGTTTCTAAGGAAGTGAGTAAATGCATTCTAGTATATGCAGGGAAAAGGCCACTTCAGTCACACGCAAGACAAACTCTGCTTTTAAAGCAGTGCCTGGACTAGCTGAAGTTGTACCCCAACCCCGACCCAGTGTGAATCCTATGTAAATTTCACAACCTCCCACCCCAACTCCGTAAGAAATGACGTGAAGTACTCATGTTAAGAAGAAAAATACTCCATTCTCTTTGGAAACAAATGTTCAGTGTACAACTACAAAGAAAAATTATACAGAGAAAAGCATAAAGGTATGATCCTGAATGAGAAGGGAAGACTTGGCATAGTTTGATGGATCTGCCTTATGTTTTATCACACAAGGCTTTGAAAATAACTGTTATAATAATGTGATTAAAATTCAGGAGAAAAACAAGAACAGGTTTCATCTAAACACAGTATAAAGAATTAAATGGCTCAGGGCAGACAAAATGCTAGTGTGAATGGAGAAGGTGGTTACGGAGTCCCACCCTAGTGGAGGACCCCGTTGGCACTGGAAGATCCTGGGAGAGGGAGAGAGTTTTCTTCAATGGTGTGACCCTGGGAGGTGGGCCACTCTCCAGAGCGGGCTCCACACCCAGGAGTCTTTGGGCAGCACCAGTGGGACTCAGGAGGTCTGGATGGGTAGGGAGGTGGTGGTGAGTGTAGGAGGGGTTGAGGGAGGGGAGTGAACATGAAAAAGCTATTTTGTATGAAATCCTTAAGAAAGAAATGAAAGTATCATTTAAAAAAGAAATACATCTAAGAATTCATTGGAGGCTTCACATCATCTAGTAGAAGAAAGATCAATAACCTGAAAGGGTGGCCATTAGGAATTGCCCAAATGGGCGCTGGGGTTGTAACTCGATGGTAGAGCACTAGTCTTGTCTGTACAAGGTCCTGGCTGCAGTCCCCTGCCAATACTGCCAGGACAAACAAACACAAAAGCCAAAAAACAAGCCCCAAATGACTTCACGTCAGCATTTTGCAGCAGTTAGTGGGGGACAGGTGCAAATAGTTACCAATACAAGCTGGCCCAGGGCAGTGAGGCCAGCTTGGCCTGTAGGAAGTTTTGCAGGCCCTGAATTGATGTTTGAAAGTTAACACATACACCACATGGCTGCTCCCTGAGAAAATGGCTGCGTCGGGAGTCATTTCCAGCTGAGCACAGCCCAGCATAAGACCATAACTACGGGAAACCCACAGGAATGCCTTGACATGGACAGTAGCAGTGGACCCCAGAAGTGTCACACACAGAGAGGAAAGTTTCTTTTGTTAGTCTACTTTAATCACTGTGACAAAATTTGGAAGCAAATCCAAGGGGAAATAATTATTTGGTTTACGGTTTTAAGGGGAGTCAGCCCAGGGCCAATGGGCTGCTTTCCTCACTGTGGTGAGAGAAAACCCTGTGATTGCGGAGTATCGGTGAGAAGGGGGAGACTGCTCATCCCCTGCAGGTCAGAAAGCAGACAGAGGGAAGGTTTGAGGACAAGATATGTTCTTCGAAGGTGTCATGTCCCAGTTATCAGCAATCTGAGTTCAAGGATAGCCTGAGCCGCATAATGAGTTCCTATCTCAAAAACAGTCAAAGGGACACATCCCCAATTAACCACTTCATTAACAGCCCAGTCAATACAGATTAATACATGGATTGGTCCTCTGATGAAATCTAGCATTCTTATGATCCAATCACCTGTCAATATTGCCACCAGCTTACAACTAAGCCTTTAGCACCAGGACCTTTAGGGTGGGATGGGTAGGTAGGTGGGGTCAGGGACATAAACACAAGATGAACCAGGTAGCACTGTTATAAATATGTTTCCAGAATATTTTTTCAGGCTTGCATTTACTAGGACAGTGTGCTGCAGACATGCAGTGACTAGGCCAGCGGCTCTTAGTACGGGCGCTGGGGTCTCTGACATCACTGGGTTCTGTTGAACAGTACTGACGTACCTGCCCTCTGATTATTTTTCCAACAAGAAGTTAGTTTTTAAATTACTTTGTTAGACCTATTTTATTGTTAAATTTTGTGTATGTGTATGTGTGTAGGTATGTGCATGTGAGTACAGATGCCTGCTGAAGCCAGAGAGAGTTTGGGATCCCCAGGAGCTGCAGTTATATGCAGTTGTAAACCATCTAACGTGTGGGTGCTGGGAACCAAACTTGGGTCCTCTGGAAGAGTAATATATACTCCCGATCACTGAGCCTACCCTCTAATCGCCTTAAATTATTTTGAAACACAAAATTGTATGTGTTCTATCATTTAGGAATGGAAATCTTTGTATTCCATAACAATAGTCCCACATTGGATCTCTGATCCATAATAAATACAAGGTACCAAGAGATCTGCAGAGATAGATTCCAGCTCCCCCTCCCTCGCCCCCACCCGAGACAGGGTTTCTCTGTGTTAATAGTGTTGGCTTTCCTGGAACTTGCTTTATAGACCAGGCTGGCCTCAAACTCACAGAGGTCATCTTACCTCTGTCTCCCTAGTGCCAGGATTCAAGGTATTCACCACCACACCAGGCTTAGATTTCAGCTTTTAACAGTTTTAAAGGAAACACGGATATTATCCTTAGATCTTCATTCAGCACAATCATTGGCATATGAAGGAGGCAGACCGGTCTCTCAGAATGACAGTATGTTTTTGAACATTTAGCTAATCAGTAGATGGCCATTAATTTAGCCAGTGTGTCTGCCCCTTACTGTAGTAGGAGAGAACAGCTGGTCAGTTTGCCTTATCTCAGTAAGCAGTACAGATCGTCTACTTCAGGGCCACATTAACCCTGACTGTATCAGGACACCATTCCGTGCTGGGCCTTTACCATCTCACCATTGGACAGCAGTGGTCCCATACATGACGATGATGTGCTGACGGGACCTCAAATACCGGAATCATTAGTATGATTCTCTGGATGCCTGGTATAAGATACAGCATTGCCAGAGTGGGAAAAATAGATCCCCTGAAAACACAACGATCTGGTACACTCGGGGACAGTAAGGATGTCTACTTCATAGTGAAGGACAATTGTGTACTTTGTTCCTCTGTCTAGAAAAGAGGGCCCTTGGTGTTTGGTGGACTCTTTTGACAGCATTTGGCCATGTAGCTCAGGCTGGCCTCAAATCTGAATCCTTCCGTCTTGGCCTGTGTCTTCCATATGCTGGGATTATAGACCTGTACCACCATATTTGGCTATTTGATGAACTTGAGAAAAATTTGTGCACATTGCTTAAATATGGATTGATCCAGATGCCTCCAGCTTTAACTGGGCGTGACAGAGGGGGGGTCTCTTAGGTGACAGTTTGCTGCAGTGAAGTGAGTTCTTCCACATGGGCCTAACGAAGGTGAGGTAATAGCTTTGGTTTCTGTGACAGATCGGGATTCTGCATAAAACCTGGGTTTGGGAGCCAAACGATGCCCCTGCAGGATGTAACTATTCTTTAGATTTACTAATAAGGCACTTACAGTAAGAGCAAATGAAAAAAAAATCCAAAGTGCTCCTTGAATT